CTCTCTCTCTCTCTCTCTTTCCCACCCCCTCTCTCCTTCTCACTAAAAATTTACCTCACTTGGCGAAGAGAAAGCTAAGCTGATTCATGAGGGTTTCATTACGAGGTGCTTGATAGCAAGTATAGCAACGTACAGAAGCATTTCAGCACCGGTCACTCATTCAGCGATAACAAAAGTTTGTCGTGTGGACGAACCTTAAATAACTTGATTTAAATGTGACGTGTCATCTTTAGCGCGAAGGAGGTGAGGGTCGCCTGGTTTCAGAGGCAAAACTAGCTAGAAAATGACTGCCAAAGTTTGGTATCTTCCACAGTTTGAGAGTCCTTGGAAACTGACAATTTACATTTTCTGTGCCTTTAATGAACATTATTTCCAGTAAAATCCACACCGAAATACGTTTTTTTTATTGGACATGAAAAGTGTTGAGCCACAAAAAAAAATTCAAAAAAAAAAAAAAAATTCAAACAAAAAAAAGGAAACGCCCAAAGGCTAGAAAACGTAGAAAAATGTCAGTTCCTTTGATTTAATTATTTTGACGAGCTCTTTCACCACGATCTTTTACATTTTAAGACCTGTGAGGGAAGCCTCGTGATGAAATATGGAGAGCTTGTCAACATCATTAAATCAAAGGAACTGGCATGTTCCCGCCTGTTGGTTAACTTATATCGATTTTCTCTTTATTTACATGTTTGTTTGTTTGATTACTTGTTTGTTTGTTTGTTATTTTCTTGACTCAACACTTTTTATGTCCACTTAAAATCACATTTCTGGGTGGATCTTGTTTTTTTTGTGGTAAAAACAACGTTGATCAAAGGAACAAAAACCTAATTTCACTGTAGCTTTGGAATTCACCAAACTTTGGAGGCCATTTTCTTATTAATATTACTTCTGACACCAAGCGTCCCCCATCTCCTTCAATTCCAAATATCTCAACGCCTATTCAAGATAGATGGGTATTTTTTTTTCATCATAAGCTTGACAATGAATGGGAAAAAAATTGAAAATGTATGGTACCAATAGCTCCTGATTCCACCGCATCACTACACATATGGAGATACACCTAGCCTTCTCGGATCAGGGCGAAAAATCTCGGAGGTCTCGTGTGTAAGTTGTGCACATTAAAGATCCCTTGGTGGTCCAAAATCGATAAGAGTAGGCTTCGGGCGCCACCCAGGCAAAATCTAAAATTCAGTCTTACTTGACCCGGACTTTGTTTGTTTGAGTAAAGAGGAGCACGAGAGTGTTTGGCGGGTGCTCTAGTGTGGTTTACTTCTTCTTTCATATCAAACATCTATCTACCGTCCTTATCTCTCCGCCTTCTTTTTTGTGTATGTTATTCTCTTGTAACACATCTATTCTTCTGCACTTATATGACCTTATTGTGTTGCAAGTGCCGTAAAACTCTTACTAAAACTAAAAGAGAAATACATGTGTACATCGACACAATAATAGTTATTCAATTAGTGCTGGGGAGAAAGTAAGACAGACAGGCAGAGACAACAGAGAGGGAAATGTTTGTTTTTGTAAGTGTTTTACGGCGCTCGCAACTGCATAAGGTCATATGAGCGCGAGGGACTCATTAAACTTTTTCAGT